GGGCCATGAATGTAGGGATGGGGCAGGGGATTGAGGTTCGGGAGGAAGTGCGAGGTGGTGCGGTGTGCAGGAAGGGGCTCAGGGCAAGGGGTTGGGACGGAGGAGGGGTGCAGGGTATATGAGGGGGTTGAGGGAAGGGGGTTGGTGTGCAGGAGGGGTGCGAAGTGCGGGAGGGGGCTCAGAGCAGGGGTGCAGAGAGGGGTGCGGAGTGCGGTTGGGGGCTCAGGGCAGGAGGTTGAGGTGCATGAGGGGTACAGCAGGGGGCTCAGGGCAGAGGGTTTGGGTTTTGATGTGGCAGGAGGCTCAGGGCAGTAGGTTGGGGTGCAGGAGGGGTGCGGAGTTCAGGAGGGGGCTCAGGGCAGAGGGTTAGGGTGCAGGAGGGGTGCGGCAGGGGGCTCAGGCCAGGGGTTTGGGGTGAGGGGTGCAGGAGGGGTTTGGGATGCAGGCTCCGGCCTGGCGCCGCTTACTTTGAGCGGCTCCGGGGTGGCAGCAGCGCGCAGCAAGGTAAAGGCAGGCTCCTTGCCTGCCCTGGCCCCGTGCCGCTCTTGGAAGCGGCCTGCACCGTGTCCCTGTAGCCCCTGGGGGAGGAGGGGACAGAGGGCGCCGTGTGCTGCCCTCGCCTGCGGGTATCTCCCCTGAAGCTCCCATTGGCTGTGATTCCCTATCCACCAGGGCTGCAGAGACATGGTGCTGGCCACTTCTGGGAGCGGCGTGGGGCCTGCGGCGCCACGGGGGCAATCCCCAAATGTCCCCAAATAAAAGTAAAACCGTGTTCAAAATTGCCCCATTATTTCAGGGCTTTCAGGAATTCCTTGGGTTCACAAGCTCTGTATTCATACACAGAGGATTAGTGGTAATCTTTCAGATTGCATGGCTTTTTGGATACTTCGTGTGGAGTCTGTGTCTGGGACCCCCACTTATTTTGCATTTGAGACTGATTTTAATACAGCAGGATGCTTAGATGGTGTTCCAGCGGCTATCCAGCACCATGTGCTAATGCTTATCCACAAATGCCATAACTCTTTGAAATCCTGCCACTGTGGCCAGAACTGATAGAAGTGTCATATTCTTAGTGGCTCCTCCTAACAGATTAGGGACATCCAAACTTCACATCAGAAACTTGTCCTCGGTTAATGTGCTATTTAAACTCCCATATTATGTCTTAATTTATTTTTTGTAATTAAGTGACAGAGTATATTTTTCAGTCGTCAGAGTGGTGTATGTCGTTTGTGGAACCAGGAATTTGATAAGTGGCTTGAGAATTGGTGCAGTGTTGACTCGTGCATGGATTCTTTAAATCTTTATCAGCAGTAAAGCACTTTCTTTTGAGGAAGTCCCAAATTCCAAAGGATTAATCAATTTTGCTTAATCTGGGTCAAAATGGCATTTATAAAAATATTCAGATTAATCAGGTCTGACTGTACCAAAACAATAATTCTAAATAAGCTGCCAAACTGTTCAGTAAATCATAAATTTATAGCTGGTATGAAAATAACATGCCATAATCACAGTACAGTAGATGTCATTAACATAGTCTTATCACAGTAGCTAGTCTCATTACTTTAAATTCCTTTACTTCAGCATAAAAATCTTTGAGCAGCTGAAATTGTATTTTCTGATGAAATAATAAATCATTGAAATTGCCTATCTTTCATAGGCAGATCTATCTCTTAGTGGGGTATAGAAGGGAAAAATAATTGGACTTACTCTGAGCATTTGGGGCCACGAACCATCTTTTTGTTTTGTGTTTGTACAGCGCCTAGCTGTATGGGGGTCTGGTCCATGACTAGGGCTCAGATGTGCTATGGTGATACAAATAAATGAATAATAATCTAAATATCTTTGGTCTGACTGCCTTAACTACAAGTTAAGAAAATAAATCTGACTTTTCAGGAAAGGTCATATTATATTTTTAATGTATACTGCATCCATTTTGCATCATATGTGCTGTTATGGACATATAGGCATGATTTTTAATTATACTCTTCCTGTGGCTTTTATGAAGAATGATATTGCCTGCTATTTGCTGTTTGTTACTAAGCATTTATCTTAATAATAGTAGCACTTACAGCACTTCTCATCTCTCCATCTCCAATCTCAGAGTGAATCATGCTGTAAAAGTGAAAGGATATTAAATTTAATTATATTATGGTCACTATTACCAAGCGGTCCAGCTATATTCACCTCTTGGACCAGATCCTGTGCTCCACTTAGGACTAAATCAAGAAGTGCTTCTCCTCTGGTGGGTTCCAGGACCAGCTGCTCCAAGAAGCAGTCATTTAAGATGCCAAGAAACTTTATCTCTGCATCCCATCCTGAGGTGACATGTGCATTTAAAAATGGATGGCTTCAAAAAACAAATGAAGTTCCATGCTGATGGGGTTCCTGATGGGAGAATGAGTGTTCAAATCATATGGATTGTGGATGTGTTACAAATGAATAATGATGATTTGCACTGGACTGTGCCATAACTAAGAGCTGTATAAAGCTCAGTGTTTTGTTTTCATGGTTTCACAATACTGATTTTTGGGTTAAACAAACCCAATAACTCAAAACAAAATTGGACTTAAACCATCAAAGTCTGCATAGTTTCTACCTAAAACCATAATTTTGCCTAGGAACACTCAAAACTTGACCTGGGCTCAGTTGAAACTCATTCAGATATTGCTGAAAGCTTCCCAGACATAGAACTTGGACTTCCAATTTTCATTATGGGTGTTTTGCGCAGGTGCAGTGTACATAATATACCTGAACAACAAATCAGGTATGATAACAACATGAACAGTGCTGGTAAAATATTCAGCTGTTCAAAACAGACCATGTTAATATTGACCTGTGAATATGAATCCGGGTTCAAATGCTCTCACGAGTGAAATCCACATGAAACAGTTCTTGTTTCTTATCTGACATTGGAATGAGATTATGGCCATGAGAAAATGGTTGACTATATTTTTCATGCCTATTTTTTATTTTTCATTTTATTCTAGTAGCCTGAGGGATTGTTGTTATAACAGGACACAAATGGAATTTTATACAGGTGCTATCATAGGGGGAGGTGGACTGTACCCAAATAGAATGAAATCAGGGAGGATTTGATTGAAATCACTAGTCAGGAAGACTCAATTTAATCATGGATTTCTACATAAAAGCGCATTGTTGTTGGTTGTTATAACCTTAATACATATTCTTCACAACTCAGAGATAGATGAGATAGAGGAGACCCAAACTGGGTCTCTTTTACGACCTTCTGCCATTATAGGTTTTACCTTCTAGTGAGAGAATGGTATGGTAGATCTCAAATCAATGAAGGCTACACTCAAAGACCTGAAGACTTCTGGAATATGCTGCTCAAACAGTTTCACTTTTGTTTCTATTGCCTGTCCTTTCCTTCTCACATTTATCTCCAGACTTCTTCTCCTTGTCCAGATCTATTCTGCCCCCAACAATCTTATATTCATTGAACTTTTTGAAACTTTGCACTTTTAGAGAGAGGTAAGGGATTGACTCTGTGTACACAAATTTGCAGAGGGACAATAGGGTTGAGGTCTGTTATTTCTCATCGCTATATATTTATTTATTTAAAACATTTTTGCTGTTAACAAGCATGTTATCTCTAGAGACACAAATCCACAGTTTGAGAACTGCAAAACTAAACATCTCTGATGGTATCTTCTAGACCGGGAAGGGGGGAGGGGGAGGAGATAGGAGGTGGGGGCTGGGCCACAACCCCCCGGCTCTCCATACAATTTACGAAACTTGATGCGGCCCTCAGGACCAAAAGTTTGCCCACCCCTGTTCTAGACTGAGCACTGAGTCCCATTGGGTAGCTAGAAAGATTAACCTATACAGAAGCCCCTGGCACCCCATAAGATTGGGTTCCTAATCCATGAACTATTGGAACTCATTTGCGAAAGTTTTCTTAAACATTACATGAATATATTGTCTCATACTATAGAATTAGAATTTATAATCCCTATTCCATGATGAGATATCTTTGAGCTATAATCTATCTTAATTAAAACTATCAAAAAGCATTTTATCAAAAAATTCCAATTTAATAAAAAAAATCTGATTTTTTTTAAATCATTGATTTTTATCCACCCTGAATGAAATGCCTTCAGAGAATATTAATGAAAAAGGGACTTTAATCTTTCAGAATGTGGCCCTTTCCCCTAACAGTTCATATGATGTAAGTATAGAGGAGTATTGTAAGACTGTGGTAGGGATATCACTCCTGGAACCCTGAGAGCCCACTATAGGGCTGTGTCCATGCTGGTAGTTGCAGTTCTTCATTGGCGGTAATCACTCATTTGCCATAGTGTCTGGTTTATACATCTAATTGTATTTCAAACCAGTTTCTAATGTTGCTGATTGGCAGAATGATTGTCACCTTGTTAAAAATATGCTCCTTCTGTGAGTACCAGCTGTTCTTTTGCAGTTGAAAAGGATCTCCCTGTTTCCCCTTCTTCTTCCAAGCCTTCTCTCCCCTGTCCCCCACCAAAAATTGCCTATGTTCAGATGTTTATTCAGTCTGTAGAGTAGCAGGCATTTTCAGTCATTACTTTCTCTCTGTATGTAGCATTCATGCTATCTCGATGGGAGCTTGTCAAATCCAATGCATTGTACTAAGTGCCTCTCTTTTAAAGTGTCTGTGCTAGTTTGCTACTTTGTACGGTAATTGTGACCCATCCTGCTCACACTAGAAAGTTGTTTTTTCTAAACAAACTGCAGGGGGGAGGGAGGGAGAAACCAACCAGGCTACAAACACTGTCAAGTTGAACCACTGGAAAAGCACTAGAAATTACTAGATGTAATGTAGAAAATTGGGCTCTCAAACATGCTGTTGTGCCACTTTCTAATACTAGCTCTATGTACAGAGTTATACTGGCCTTGTAACATCTCATGGAGCATACACTGGTTTTTCAGTAGCTGCCAGACTTGTGGCCCTTTTTGTTTTCTCCTAGAATTATTGATTAACACTGGTATTTTTGTTTTATTAGGTAAAAGAAGAGATGCTGTTTGAAGCCCTGGTTACCAGAAAGACAGTGACGGTGGGAGAGAAGCTTATTTTACCATACAAACTTGGAGAGGTACGTGATGTTTTATATTAAACTGGAGGAATATTAACATGGTTTTCAGTGCTCTGGTGTGAGAGCGTGAAATATACATGTCATGGTGCCAGGAGTGGCTCACTGCTAAGAATGTCAAACTCAGGTCAGACTGTTAGAAGCCAGGGCAGACACCCCAGACGGGTGGTATATTCTATCATTAGATTTCGCCAAGCCAGTAACAAAAGTATACTTATGGATCACTGTATTAAATTTACCATGGAGTCACAGACAGTCCCCTTATGCTCTCTAGCTTCTCTTTACCACACAGACAAACTGGACTTTATGATGAAAGGTTATTAAAACCAAAATTCACCACACATTAGGTTACTTCCAGCCCCAAAGAGCCAGTCACTTACCTCAGGTCAAAATATACTCCAGATCTCACCAAAGACAATGCTGTAGCCAATCCTTTACTAAACTAAAAATAATGATCTATTAATTAAGAAAAAGATATGAGAGTTATAGCAAGGTTTAAAGCAGGTAAAATACATTACAGGTGAATTAGAGTTTATTGATTCAAAATAAAAGCAGAGATATAGCAATCTGCCAGTGTCATGGAGTTTTATAAATTCTCTCAGGGCTTCCCAAAAATGACTTTTGGGGACCTCTGTCTGGCATCTGGAACCTCCCTGTTAGTGTTCAGATGGATCAGAGGTAAGGATCACTCCCAAGGCTTTGCTTTTATAGCTGAAACAGGCTAGCAAAATGACAGGGGTCTTCACCATGTGGGCTTTGATGAATAGCAAATGCAGACAATCTGTGATCTTCGTTGCTTAACATTCACTAGGCCGTCCAAAGATGATACATTTGCTAACAGTCATTCAGACTACTAAGATGATTTATAGGTAGTTTACAACATAAATCAAAAAGTTTCAGATAGATAAAGACAATAACATTAGTATTTCACTAGTTTTCATGCATTAAGTAATTCTTCATCTAAATGCTAATACATACTTTGAATACTGTGGGAGGCCGTATCAAAAGCTTTGCTAAAGTCAAGGAATAACACATCCACTGCTTTCCCCTCATCCACAGACCCAGTTGTCTTCTCATTGAAGGCAATTAGGTTAGTCAGGCATGACTTGCCCTTGGTGAATCCATGCTGACTGTTCCTGATCACTTTCCTCTCCACTAAGTGCTTCAGAATTGATTCCTTGAGAACCTGCTCCATGATTTTTCCAGGGACTGAGGTGAGGCTGACTGGCTGTAGTTCCCTGGATCCTCCTTCTTCCCTTTTTTAAAGATGGGCACTACATTAGCCTTTTTCCAGGCATCCGGGACCTCCCCTGATCGCCGTGAGTTTTCAAAGATAATGGCCAATGGCTCTGCAATCACATTCGCCAACTCCTTTAGCACCCTCGGATTCAGCGCATCCGGCCCCATGGACTTGTGCTCGTCCAGCTTTTCTAAATAGTCCCGAACCACTTCTTTCTCCACAGAGGGCTGGTTACCTCCTCCCCATGCTGTGCTGCCCAGTGCATTAGTCTGGGAGCTGACCACCTTCGTGAAGACAGAGGCAAAAAAATAATTGAGTACATTAGCTTTTTCCACATCCTCTGTCACTAGGTTGCCTCCCTCATTCAGTAAGGGGCCCACACTTTCCTTGACTTTCTTCTTGTTGTGAACATACCTGAAGAAATCC